AGGGAGGGTGGAGGAGGGAGGTGGAGGAGGGAGGGTGGAGGAGGGAGGGTGGGGAGGGAGGTGGAGGAGGAGTCCCAGCAGCTCCCACCTGCTCCTCCTCAGGGTGACTCATCTCCAGAGAACAAGACCCGTCTGCGCTTGCGACACTGTGGAGTTCCCCTGGATCTGGAGGGGCTTAGGGTCGCCCAATCAGTGATGGGTACGGGGATGGATGGGGCTGGGGGAGGGCTGTGTCCTTCCCAGKGTTAGGAGCAGTAATGGCGAGACGTGGCCATTGACCACAGGTTCCCAGGCCCAGGACAGGGCCGAAGTCAGCAGTGGACTGGGGAAGAAGCCCCCCATCTCCAGGAGCCCTTCACAGAGGGCAGGTGGGAGCCACGTGGGCAGTGGAGCAAGGGGTGCTGCAAGACCTTCTGCTGACACGTCCCTCCACCCAGGGCGGGCATCAGCACCCGGGGTGTGGCTCGGGCCTGATCCAGGTGGGAAGGGAAACCAGCCAGCGGTGCCAACCAGCCCCATCCACAGGAATCTGAAAAATGGCTCCTTCAGCCAAGGCAGGAATCTCTGCGATGAGCAACAACCTCCGGGCAGTGGGTCGGGCCTCAGTGCAGCTGCCAGGCGCCAGGCCCTCCTGCTGCGGCTGCCTTCAGGAGGCTGGCTTCTCAGGGACCTTGTCACAGCGTGCCCTTGAACCAGCCTGGAGCTGCGCAGTCAAAAGCTCAAGGCTGGCACGTGATCCTGGGAATGCTCTGCACCCCTAGAAAGGCTGATRAGCCACGAGCTGAAGGGGCTGAACGCAGGTGGCAGAAGACAATGGCAGCTCAGGGCAGGCAGTTCGCGCAGCGGAAGAGGGACGCCTGTCCATTCCTGTCCAGCGAGTGTTGCCGGCGCCTCCTGCCTCTTGGCTCGGGAGTGTTGCCTGCAGAGCTGCCGCCTGGGGGTCTGGAAGTCACCAGCCTCTGCCCCTCCCTCGCCACCCTTCCTACCCTGGCACATGGGATGGACTCATAAGGACTCAAGGAGGGTGAAGGAGGTGGCCCCGGGACGTTGGCCCTGTGGGTGTGTGGCTCTCCCTGGGCTCTCTCCTGGGCCACCTGCCCTCTGTCCCTAGACTGTAAATGAAGGAGCTGGGTCAGATCAGGGCTTGCAATTGCAGCCACCTGCAGTATGGTGCCTGTGCCACACTGGAGGGAGGTCGCCCACAGGGGACGCTGTCACTCAGCACCCAAGAATCAGTGTCCTGGGAGCCCCAGGAGGCCAGCTCCAAGGGGCCGAGAGTGGCGTCTGTGTTCACTGTGCTGGCAGTGCCTGCGACGGCAGACAAAGGCACGAACCTCCYGGTGTCACTCCACCTTCCGGGTGTTTGGGAGGAGCTGGAGAGCGGGTGTCTCTCTGGAGCTTGGGTTTGGATAATGCATGGGAAGCTGTTCGAATGCCACGCGGCTCGGGGCTCGCACAGGTGCATCCCGCCTGCTGACCCAGATGCAGGCTGCTGGGACCCCACCTGCTCTCCAGGCACTCTGGGCTGGAGCACGATGGCCAGGTCATCGTCCCCAGGGTCCCAGCAGCCCAGCCTCGCAGGACCATGTGTCCCCAGGGACACTGTCTGCTTTCCACTTCTGTGCGGCGGCATGAGGGMCGGCCTTTCTGTCCAGGCCAGGAGGCTGCGGGCTCAGTGTCTTGGGGGTCTGAACAGGACCTCTGTCCCTGTTCCATGGAGCTGATCTTGGCCCCAGGAGCACTCTCTCCTCCCCAGGGCCTTGCCGTGCCCATCTGCCCGTGGGGCTCAGTGGACATCCCACCTGCACACACCTGTCCTTGACCTGTACCACTAGCTTCCCCCACCTCCTGCTGAGCTTGGATCTGAAATGGCCCTAAAGGCCCTGGTGTGAAAGGTTTGGTCCCCAGTCCCTGGCAGCACTGGGAGGTGGGGCCTCCTAGAAGGTAGGTAGGTCACTGGGGTCGTGCCTTGGAGGAGCTGTTGGACTCCAGACCCCTTCTCATCTCTCTTCAAGTGCTGGCTGCCAGGAGAGGGACAGGCTCCTCTGTCATGCGCTCCTGCCGTGATGTGCTGGGCAGCCACAGGCCCAGGGCCAGGTGACCATGGACTGAGACCTGGGAGACCATTAGCCAGATTAACCTTTTCCCTCATTAAGGGGATTATCTCAGGTAGTTTGCCATAGTGGCAGAACGCTGGCTGGTGTACCTCCTGCACATTCCCTATTTCAGTCTTTCACCACCAACTGACCAGTACCTCCAACCCCCGTGAACTGTGGCTGTCCATCTGGCAAAACCCAACCTGGAGCAGTCCGACTGCCTGCCTGCCTTCTGGAGCTTGCTGAGCGCTGTAGAAGGAACGTGCACATCAAATTCATGCTTTCCAGCTTCAGCAGGGCTCCGAGCCCCTGAATCCCTTCATGCTTCCTTAGTGAGTTGACTCTGACCGTTGATCATCATGGACCCCCAGCAGGCCATCCTCCCCCAGCCCCACACCCTGGTCCTCCGCCTCCCTCCAAGCCCTCCCTCCTACCTAAAGCCCACTTGCCTCTGTTCTGCTGCTTCTTCTGCAGGAACATGCCCTTTCCTTATTTTGCTTGGCCAATGGCCAGGTGTTTGGGATTCGGGTCATCCGTCCTTCCTGCGGGAAGCCCTCTCTGAGGGCTCCTCCTAGCCACCCGGCCTGGCCATCTCTGCGCTCTCACCCCATTCTCTCCCCGGGGGACGGGGCGGTGCTCCTGCTCTGTGATATGCTCCTGGTTATTGTCCTGTGGCCACAACTGAAGCAGAGACACCGTCAGGCCATGCATCAGGTCCCTAGTGGCAAGGAGAGCATGGTGGGCCAGGGGCCAGTGGGTGCTGACCAGTGCGTTGCAAGTGGCCCAGGGCAGTGCTTCCCCCAGCTGTCCTCCCCTCCTGTACCCCACCCTCTGTTGAAACTCAGCCCACAGCTCACCTCCCCGTCCCTCTGGGCAGCCAGACCTCGTGGGCAGGAGCTTGGGCTGAACCTCGGTATATTCCTCACAGCTCAGAACATTCTGGACAAATGGAGATGTAACAAGACACCCTTCCTGGATGCCTGGGTGAGTTTCCTGTTGCTGCTGTAACAAATTAGCGCAGACTCAGTGCTTTGAACAACTCCGATTTATTCTGTGACAGTTCTGGAGGTCAGGGGCGGGCAGGGCCTGTTTCTGGAGGCTCCAGGGGGATCTGCCCCCGTGGTTTGCCCCGCCTCTGAGGGCGCCTGCAATCTTGGCTCACGGCCCCTTCCTCCCTGGCTCTGACTTCTGCATGTGTCCCCACATCTCCTCTGACTCTGAGGACCCTTGTGACTATGTTGGGCCACGTGGATAATCCAGGACCGTCTCCCCACCGGGAGATCCTCATCTTAATGACACCTACAAAGTCCCTGTTACCCTGTCAACTAACCTCCCCAGGGTCTAGAAAGGGCTCCGGATGTCTTGGGGGGTCATTATTTGGTAGATGGTCATCTGACCACCACCGTAGTCTTTATGGGGATGGAAGGATTGAAACGGAGGCCAGGATTCTCCTTTCTCTGCTGCTTCAGCTCCGCCCGGACAGCGGGCCGCAGTCTTTCCTGTGGGTGGAGGACAGCGCCGTGAGGCTCCGGGGGGCGCATCGTTTGTAAAGCTCCCAGAGCTTGGTCCTGAAGAGCCGGCCCACGAAGACGTAGATCACGGGGTTCAGGCAGCTGTTGGCGAAGGCCAGGGAGTTGGCCAGCTGCAGGCCCAGGTCGATGGGCTCCTCCCAGGAGCAGCCCCGGACGGCCCCCACCCGGAACAGGAACTCCAGGAAGGCAAAGAGGTGGTAGGGCGCCCAGCACACCAGGAAGGCCCCCACGAGCGCCAGGATCAGCGCCGTGGTCTTGCCGTCGCTGGGGCCCCCACACCGGGCCCTGCCGACGGCCTCCCGCGTTCGCAGGGAGGCCAGGATGTGCATGTTGAAGAAGAGGATGGCGGCCAGGGGGAGCAGGAAGCCCAGCACGGTCAGCTCCACCATCCTGGCCACGTGCCAGGCCTGGTGGGGCAGCAGCAGGATGCAGGCCGAGACGTTCAGCTCAGGGACGGCCTCCACGGACCGCAGCAGGAACGTGGGGGTGCTCAGGAGGCCCCCCAGCACCCAGATGATCGCACAGGTGGCCTGGGCCTGCCGGCGTCGCCGCCGCCTCCGGCTGGCCATGGGGTGCACCAGCACCTGGTATCGGTCCTGGCTGATGGCCACCACCAGGAAGATGCTGATGAACAGGTGGGCCTTGATGACCCCGCTGACCACGCGGCAGAGGAGGGCGCTGAAGGGCCAGTGAAACTTGTTCCAGATGTTCTCCGCCCAGAAGGGCAGGCCCAAGACGAACACCAGGTCGGAAGCCGCCAGGTTGGCCAGGTAGATTTCCGCTGCATTCAGTCGCCGGCGCGGCAGGAGGAGGACGGACAGGACGAGAAGGTTCCCCAGGAGGCCCAGGGAGCAGATGGCAAGGAGGAAGGCGGGCAGCACCCTGTGCAGCAGGGCCCAGGCCTCGGAGGCACCGTCGCAGGAGGAGGCGTTGGGAGGGGCCTGCAGGCTGCCGTTGGAGGACTGGAGCTCCAGGAGGATCTGGGATGCCATCCACAGTGACCTGAAATGAGAGGAGTGGGGGCTAGCGCAGGGGGAGGCAAGACCCAGCCCCCGGGCCACCCTGCCTGCACCTGCTTCGAACAATAAAGTTTTATTGGCACATGTCCACATCATTTGCATATACCTGTGGCCATTTCCATGTTACAACAGCAGAGTTGACGGCTGCAACAGCACCCCTGGCCTGGAGCTGCCCCTACTCACCAGCTGCTCCTCTAGAGGAGGAGGTTGCTGATGTCTGGTGGAGAGCAAGAGAACAGGACTTTGCCCTTGAGTTCAAATGCTGGCACAACCGCTTGTGGCCTGCGTGGGCCCACTGACTTTTCCTTTCCTTTGGGGATCTGTCTATTGAGTGCTTAGCGTGGTGCCCAGGGGAAAAGAAAGTGCTCAGAAGAAGGCGGCAGCGATTAGACTTACTGGAGACCATTTCATGATTGTTACAAAAGAGCTGAACAAATGTTTAGTGAGCATCTACTTCCTGCACTTTGCAAGGTCCTGGAGATTCACAGGACAGAGCAGCCCCAACTCTGTGGGGCTTGCCGCCTGGAGGAGAGGCAGGGTCATGACCAAAGAGGGGACACACACAGGGCAAGAAGGGGGCACAGCCAGGGGAGCTACTGGGGCTGGGCTGGCAGGGTGGATGGGTTGGGGCAAGAGTGAAGTGTTTCCAGGAGAAGATTCTTCTGCGCTTGGAAAACCTGGGCAGTTGGATGGGAAGGAGGACACTCCCACTCATCAACGGCCGCTGGGTTCCAAAGCTCTAAGTGTGTTACATTTAAGTATTTCCTCATTTAATCTTCCAGCAGCCTGTTGTCACCCTGTGACCAACTGGACTTGTGCAGGGGGAGGTGTCTGTTGGACATGGAGTAGCGATGCCCAGTGTGCAATTAGGTATTCAAACCCGGTTTTCAGGGACAAATCTGGGATAAGGAAAAGTAACTGAGAGTTGCAGTCCCATGGAGGGAACCCTGGAGGGGGCGTGCAGACGGAGGGGGAGGGGCGGAGGAGCAGGAGACCCGGGAATGATGCTTTGGTGGCTGTGAAGTTCCACGGCACGCAGGACGGGGCCGCTCTGAGCCACAGCAGGAGGAGGATCTTGCTCTTGCCACCGTGGGACTGTCATTTATGGCAGGGCCCCAGTCCGCCACGGATGTTCGCTTTGCAGTCTGGCAATACTTTAAGTTTGCAGTGAGCTCTTCTGCAGGACGGGCCCCGAACCAAATGTCGAACAAAAATCCAAGTCTGGACTTTCTGTTTCCCAAGGAGGGGGCCAGCGTGCAGCTCCTGCGAGATGTTGGTGGCGAGTCCCTCTCCATGATGCGGAGGGGTGGGGTCGGCAGAATCACAGCCCCCAAAGGTGTCTGGGTCCCTGCCCCCCCCTGGGGGCCCATGAATATTATCTTTAGTGGCAGAGGGGGCTCTGCCGATGTCATTGGATCATGGGTCACGGGGTGGGGAGTGTCCTGGGTCGTCCACATGGGCTCCATGGCATCCTGCGGGTCCTCGTAAGGGGGGTGGGCAGGTCAGGGAGAGATGTGACCACGCTGTGCTGGGGCCTAGAAGATGGGGGAGGGGCTGCACGCACAGGACGAGCTGGCCCTTGGGAGCTCCGGAGGAACACGGCCTGGCCACCCCTGACCTTAGCCGTGGCCTCCAGAAGTGTAAGAGAATTAATTTGTGTTGTTTCAAGCCACGGAATTCGTGGAGCTTTGTTGGAGCAGACACAGGACACTGACGCCCAGCCCAAGAGGTCAGCTCCCCCACCCATGCAGGAGCCTCAGCTTGGATCTGACGGGGTCAGCAGGCTTTGCCCTCCACTCCTCAGCAGCCACAGCACCTGTCTGCTGAAGCCAGGGTGGTCTTTACTAGCTGGGGTTAAAGTTGGCCAGAGGAAAAATCTTCCTTCCTTAGTTCTTAGCTTTAGCGCTGAGATTTTTCCTGGCACATAGTAAGTGCTCAGTAAACCACAGCTCTCGAGGGCAGTAATTTGCTCTGCTTTGAAAAACTCAGAGGGGGCACTGGGCATCTCTACCAAAGGTGAGAAGTCTGTAATTTCTAAGTGAGGTTTTCCGAGTTCCCCACATTTTAAGCCTGGCATGGGCTACGTGGCAAGTTCATAGTTTTCTTCACTAAATTAGCCCTCCTCAGATGAACTCCAATGTCAACAGTCAGGGGGTGACAAGGACACTGGGAATATAGACAGAGTGGGTGAGAAAGTCAGCATGGTCAAGAGCAAGCCACACACAACCCAACCCGAGCAGTGATTGTCCTTAGGAAATCTTGTAAGCCAGCTGGGAGGGATTTATTTTCATAAATCCGAATCTGTATGTTGTGAGGGCAGAGTCCCTGTGAGGCCAGATGGCTGTACTTAGCACTGATGAGTTACTTTTGTTTTCTTTTTTATTTCCTACAGCTCTTTATTTGTTCTTTTTAGATATACGTGAGAGCAGAATGTATTTTGATGTATTCTACATACATGGAGTAAAACCGTTCTACTTAGATCCCATTCTTGTGGTTGAACACGATGTGGAGTCATACTGGTGATGAACTCACACATGAACATAAGAAAGTTCTGTCTGATTCATTCTACGGTCTTTCCCCTTTGTCTAATCCAATGAACTTCTAACCCCCCCAACCCCCATTGTGGGTTAGCATCCACACATCAGAGAGAACATTCAGTCTTTGTTTTTTGGGGGGGATTGGCTTGTTTCACTTAGCATGATAGTCCCCAGTTCCATTCATTTATCGGCAGAAGCCATAATTTCATTCTTTAGGGCTGAGTAATACTTCATTGTGTCTATCTACCACTTTTTCTTTATCCACTGACCTGTTGAAGGGCACCTAGGCTGGTTCCATAGCTTAGCTATTGTGAATTGAGCTGCTAGACACATTGAAGAGACTGTGCACTGTAGTGTGCTGATTTTAAGTCCTTTGGGTATAGACTGAGGAGTGGGATAACTGGGTCAAATGGTGGTTCCATTTCAAGTTTTGTGAGGAATCTCCACACTGCTTTCCATAGTGGTCGCACAACTTGCAGCCCCACCAGCAGTGTATTGTATGAGTGTGCCTTTCCCCCACACCCTCACCAACACTTATTGTTGTTTGCATTCTTGATAGCTGCCATTCTGACAGGAGTGAGATGGAATCTGATAAACAAATTCAGCAAAGTAGCAGGATATAAAATCAACACCCATAAACCAATTGTGTTCCTATACAGCAAAGAGGAATCGACTGAAAAAGAAATTAGGAAAACTATTCCATTCACAAGAGCCTGCAAAGCCACCACCACCATAACAACAAACAAAAACAAACTTGGGATTCAACCTAACAAAACAAGTGAAAGACCTCCACACTGGAGACTCCAGAACACTAAAGAAAGAAACCGGAGAAGACCTTAGAAGATGGAAAGATTCCCATGTGCTTGGACAGGTAGAATCAATATTGTCAAAATGGCCCTACCACCAAGAGCACTGTACAGATTTAAAGCAATTAAAACCCCAATGACATTCTTCATAGAAACAGAGAAAGCAGTCATGCAACTCACTGGGAAAAACAAGAGGCCCGGAAGAGCCAAAGCAATCCTCAGTGAGAAAGTGAAGCAGGAGGCATCACAGAACCAGACTTAGATCATCCTGCAGGGTCTAGTGACAGACAGTGTGGACGAGTTCCACTGGACTGTGACATAAAGCGTGACGGGAACCTTCCCTAGCTGCTCCAAACACTCTTCCTCTTCCCCTAATCTGAAAGAGCAACTAAAGCCCAAACCAGGCATGGGGTGGATCAGAATCATTTTTGTTAAGAAATCCACACTGAGGAACATAGAGGCTGCCAACATACAGGTGTAAGGGAAGCTCTCCGTTTGTTAGATTTTTTTTTTTTTAAACAGATGTGATCTCTTCCTTTTTAGATACATAAGAAATAAAAAAGGTGGTCATTTACTTACCGGAATGGAAAATGAAAACGCTCACAGCTTGGGCTGGGTCTCCTCCGGGCGAGGACAGCCTTCAGAGGTGTTCTGTGCTGGGACCTCTGGGGGCATGTGACAGCCTTCAGTGAAACCGTGTCTGCTCCTGTGATGTCACGGGGAGGGGGGTTGGCTGAAAAGTGAGTCTTGGCTGGAGAAGGTGGTCCGGCTTTGGAGAGGAAACTCACTGTCCTTTCGCTTTGCACTTGGGGTGGTGAGAGATTACTCAGCCTCCTCTCCCGGCTTCTTGGGTAACATCCGGGAGGCTGGCCCTGCTGCCCGAGACGCGCACCGCACACAGGCCCTGCAACCCCGTGTTGGCACCGTGCAGACCTCCACCTCTGCTGCGGGGTGATCTCGCTGTCGCAGTCGGCCCYCCAGTGCCTGGGACGCGGCCCCACTTTGGCTGGAGCCGGCTTGCGCCTCCCCTTTTGCATTTTGGTCATGAAGGGTGCGTGGCCAGGAATCCACCCGCGTGGACCGTGACACACACAGCGGGGTGGGGGGGGAGGCTGACTCACGGGGKGGGGATGAGTGAGACCTCGGCACATCCCCCGTCCTCCCGGGCAGATCTGGACTCTGGTTTTGACCTGTCTGCGTTGGTGAGTTACACCACATTTCAGAACAGAGGAAATTCCTGGCTTTCCYGGGGGGGCAGGCAACGGGCCCTTCCTCCGGAGGCCACTGACCAGGAGCCCAGCTGTGCCAGCTCCCCGGCTTCTGGCAGGGCCTCATCTGCCAACTCGGGGCTCCTGAGAGGCCAGCCCCCCAGGATGCCCCCCCACGCCTGCCACACAGTGTTCCTTTGTCTGCAGAATCTGCCTGGCCTGGCTCTCCTGCTTCCTGTTACTGATGTCCGGGGGATGGACGCACTCTCGAGTGGGGTCCAGGGGCATTCCAAGGTTGGATTGGTAGAGGATACGTGGGGAGCTGGCAGGGCCTCTGGGGACATTCCTTAGCATCCAGGCACCTCTCGGGCGGGGCGTTGGGCAGGGGCCTCACACTGTCCTTGGGTGGATTTTAGCCAGAGAACAGCACCCCGAGTCCCCCTCTTTCCTCCTGTGGCTACGCAGCGGGGGTCTGGCTSGCCAGCCACTGACCACGCCTCCCTCAGCGGGCAGATGAGACTGCCCTGGTCTGGGACGCTCCTTCCCAGCTGTCCCCCTGCCAAGGGTCTATTTAGTCTCTCGCGGCCAGAGACGGTCCTGCCAAGGGTCTGAGCTCAGCTTTGCTCACCCGGAAGACGAGGGTGGAGAGTTCAGCCCTGAGCAGGGGCCACTGATGGGGGCCCGAGGAGCCAGACTTCCAGGGGTCAGTCTGTGGCGGCCTTGGCCGAGGCGTGGGAGTCTCTGATGAGGCTCGTCCAGCTGTCCCTGGCCCTGGATGGAGACCGGGAGGCAGACCTTGGTCCCAGGGAGCAGAGGGTCTCCCCCGTGGGGAGTGGGCCAAGGGCAGCGTGAGGAAGCCCCCCGGCTCCGTGCTCACCCACCAGGCGGGTGGACAGATGCACAGAGTCAGAGTCGCCATGGTCCACCTGGGTGGGTCCCGGGCATCCAGAGAGCCCCAGGTGGGGCGGGGGCCTGAGCCCACCTGCTGGCCAAGGTGCAGGCCTGAGCGCTGCTCCAGGGCAGGAAGGGGCTGTTGGTGGCACAAGCTCCACTGGGCCAGGGCTTCTGAGGACGAGGAAAGTCCAAGAACCAAAAGCCTCCAGCCCTGTGCCCGCCTGCCTGGGAGAGGAAGGGCCGCCCACCTGGCAGTGGGCTCACCAGACCCTCTCCTTAGGGGAGTTGTGAGGCTCCATGGTGAACAGGGTCTGGGACCTGGACCGTGGAGATCTCCCTAGGGACACTTGGAAGGGACTTGTGGCTGGGAGAATCAGCTATGCTTCTCCGTCTTCTAAAACCTGTCAGGCCAGGTCACTTCTGAACTTGAAACCCTCCTAGGCTCTGGGCCAGGCACAGGCAGGGGCTGGACAGTGGCCTACAGGGCCATACACGCCAGACCTGGCTGTCTCCCGAGCATGCGTCTCGTGGTCCCTGCCCAGCTCTCCCAGCAGCCCTGGGCCTTCTTGCTCTGTTTTGGGCACGCTCTATCCTCTCCCACCTCAGGGCCTTTGCACTGCCAGCTCCCTCGGCCCACCCTTCCCATAGACTCACACCCTCGCTCTCTCAGCTGCTTCCCATCTCCACGAGTCCCTCAGGTGAGAGAGCCTCTGGAACAGCTTCTCCCTTTGTGCTCGCTCTGTGGTTCTTCACAACCCCGTCGCCTCCTACACGTATGCACTCCTGTGTCTGTGTTCACTTCCTGTCTTCCTGGCCAGCATCTGAGCTCCACAGGGCAGAGAACTCATCTCTGTGGATCAGAGTCCCATTTCCTCTCTCAGGACTGATACACAGCAGTTGCTCAATAAATACTTGCTGAATGAATTCATGACCCCAGGCATTTATGGATCAAAGCATCAACAGTTTGTCTTATGCCAACAAACATGTCTTTGCCCTTGGACTGGGATATGCATCGCCAGCCTCTGGGCCTGCAGCCTGCGGACAGCTCCTCAGAGGACTTCTTAGTCTTCATAATCACACGAGCTGATTCCTCATAATAAGTCTCTCTCTGTCATCGATTTCTCAGGAGAGTCCTAATATGCAGAGTCTGGGGAGACTGCATGGAGGGGGCACGTTTGAGCTGGGTTTTGAGAGATGGATCGGAGTGGGAAGGCTGAGAAGGACGTGTGCAAGGACAGCGTGTGCAGTATAAACACGCAGAGGCCCTGTGCGAGGCCCCTGGGAGCTCGGAGCAGGCCGCAGGCCACACGGATCCTTCTGTCCAGGAAGACCACTGGGCCCAGCTGGGTTTGGAAAGACCGCCCTTGGCAGGCCTTATATGGACCCGTGGTTTGGTGCAGAGAAGATTAAACAGAGCTCTTCAGGCCGGAGTGAGTGCTGTGCTGAGTGGGTGCGGGAGAGGGGCCAGCCCCACTTAAGACCTCCGGGGACAGTGGGGGACTTGGCCGTCTTAGGAATGTTCCAGTCCTGCCTACTTTTGAAAGTTGCTGGGAGAGTCCAATAAACACAKGCAGGGCCCACGCTGCACTGTCTGGCTGCCCGTGGGCACCCTGGGCATGGAGATGCCCCTGTGTCTTCCCGTCCTGCGCCCTCCCGTGGGACCTGGCGGACAGTGCGTCATTGTTCAGCAGCCTTGATGCCTGGGGGCGTGTGCAGCAAAGAACGAGGCGGAGACACGTTGGCTGCCCTTTACGGTGCTCCTGGTGGAAGGGGAAAGGGTTGCCTTGGGACGGCCGGCACCTAACTTGAGCATTGGCCACACTGGTCCCCAGGGCAGGAATGCTTCCAGGGGCTGCGAGACTCTGGGCACAGGGCTACCGGGATAGCCGAAGATACCTATACCCCTTCTGGAAGACCTGGGGTCACTCTGGACTGTCCCCGTCCTGGATGGAGGGCAGCTACCAACTGAAATGCATGTGTCATTATAATCCATGAGCTCTGTGAAGAAAAAGAATAGGACACAGTGGCCCATGACACAGAGAGGAGTGGGGACTCGTGCTCAGGGAGGCTGTTCAGGGAGGCAGCACGTCCTGTGCCAGGTCCTGGAGTGTGAGAAGAAACCAGCTGTGGAGTAGGAGGCACACACAGCATAAGCAAAGGCCCTGGGGCTCAGTGGCTGGAACAACTGAGGAGGCTGTGTGCAGAGTCTGGACATCTGGAGAGCGGTGGGGCAGGCGGAGGCCATCTCGACCCAGTCTGCTAGAGCACTGTGGGAAGTTTGGAGTTTCCCCGTTCAACGACATCGAAAGGGAGGGAGGGAAGATCAGGCAAAGGGAACGCTGAGCTCTGAGGCAGTCCCCAGGAGCCCCAGGCAACCTGTGGGGGTTCTGACGCTGAGATAAACCTTCAGAGCTGCGAGGGGGCGAGACGGCTGGGTGGCCCTGCAGAGGTGGCCCGGGCCCTCCCGGTGGCCCAGCACCTCAGCCAATGGGGAGGGAAGCTGTGTTTGGAAGATCACCTGGCTCCTGTGTGGCAGATGGGTCACAGGTGGGGGGTGGGCAGTCAAGGAGGAAGTGAGCTGGGGCAGGGACTCCCTGGGGACAGATGGTGGGTGGGAGAGGGCAGGAGGGGGATCCAAGAGCTTTCCCAGCAATAGCTACCTACCTACCTATCTACCTACTTACCTACCTACCTACCTACCTGCCTGCCTACCTATCTACCTACCTACCTACCTGCTGCCTACTTACCTATCTACCCACCTACCTATCTACCTGCCTACCTATGTACCTGCCTATCTACCTACCTACCTGCCTACCTGCCTACTTACCTACCTACCTACCTACCTGCCTACTTACCTACCTACCTACCTACCTGCCTACTTACCTATCTACCTACCTATCTACCTACTTACCTATCTCCCTACTTACCTATCAACCTACCTACCTACTTACCTATCTACCTACCTACCTGCCTATCTACCTACCTGCCTATCTACCTACCTATCTATCTACCTATCTACCTACCTACTTACCTATCTACCTATCTACCTACCTGCCTATCTACCTACTTACCTATCTACCTACATACCTACTTACCTATCTACCTACCTGCCTATCTACCTACCTATCTACCTACCTGCCTACCTGCCTATCTACCTACCTATCTACCTACCTGTCTATCTGCCTATCTACCTATCTACCTACTTATCTACCTACCTACCTACCTACCTACCTATCTACCTACCTGCCTACCTGCCTATCTACCTACCTATCTACCTGCCTATCTATCTGCCTATCTACCTACCTGCCTACCTGCCTATCTACTTACCTATCTACCTACCTATCTACCTGCCTATCTACCTACCTACCTACCTGCCTATCTATCTGCCTACCTACCTACCTACCTACCTACCTAGCTAGCTGGAGTGGCGGGGGTTCTATTTCCTGAGAGGGGGAAGATGAAGGGAGGACACATCTCTCAAGAGAGGACTGGAACAGTGAGTTTGGACCTAAGTGTGAGATGCGTGTGAAGTAGCTCTCCA